AACTGCGATTGGATCGCCAAAATAAATTTCCTTACCATTTAATCTCCGGGAACGGATCGCCTTTCACGGCGCATTTCAGTGTGAACGAATCACCACGATCAGTCCAAATGTCGACGAGTCCTTTGGTGAAGAATGGCTCTTCACCTTCTTTCTTTGCCTGAAAAAAATAGGCTGGAAGGAAGAAGGGATAAATACAAAAAGGTGCTCGGTTTAATTCACCCTACACTAATATGTGGGATGCTCGGTTTCCTTACGAAATACTGAAATACTGCGCACGGTACCTATAGAGTAACTTGTGGGGTTAAATCATGGGCAAGTTAATGTTTTCAACCCTATAAGCTTTTGTTCGCTGCAAATGCTGAGGCGTGTCATGGGACTGGGCTTGTGGCGCGGTGCCCACCCGTTTTCCACCAACTGTTGTCGCGTGTCGGATTCAACAACGGGTGGAGAACGAGTTGGCTCGTCAAACATAGCTTCTCTGAAACGCCCCAGAATCCGCTGCGCACAAGACGATAGATGACTTTACAAAGGTTGGCTTACCAACCATTTATAGTACTTCAGACGATGACTTAAAGGCAGTGAGCACGATGGCGCGGGGGGAGGGGAGGGAGGTGGGCGGGCGGTTGCGGCCAACATTAGTGATGGAAGGGCTGCGAAAAACGTTTGGCCACACTCCTCCGCCACTCCAACAATTACGTCGGCAGTAATTCTAACATCTACCCACTGCTTCTAACAATGTCCCAAGAATTCGCTGGCCTTTCCTCCCGTACACCTTTCCGTAGGACACTTTTCCCCACCCACGAACATCGCCTTACCCTCTTTTACTTTTTGAAACCTCATAGGTAATTCAGAAAGGATGCATGCAAAACCGAAAGTAGAAAATGAGTTCTGAGCCCACAAATTCCTCCCACCCCTGTAGACGCCCTTATTGGATTGCTTGTCCTGAATACCCTCGTCTCATAGCGTAAGCAACCCATTCACCAGAAGCTGAAAATATCCAAGACATTGACGGACCTCAGTCTTTGGCACTTTCACAGTGACCAAGCAGCTAGTGTTGGTAGTTCCATGTTCATTTGAGGCCACACATCGGTAAGCACCTTCGTCAGCTGAAAAAAATGAAGTAATACAATGATGTTGCAGTAAAGGCCCAGTGGGCGGAGATACCCAACCATAGAGCCTTCCTCATTGGTGCGCCTAAATGGGCGCACCAATGAGGATCGCTGATCAAACGCATCCGGCAGCTTTACCAATGCGAACTGCGCTTTTAAAAATGAACAAGTATAAGAAATTAAAAGTGGACCTTCCGTAGTTTCACTGATTTCCATCGAGCATGTACCATCTTCAGCTGTGATGATGGTGAAACGACCACCGGGACGTAGTGGTAGACCGTCTTTGTACCAGATGATCTGAACCAGGTGGTTTTCGCACTGTGAAAGGTAAAGAGGAATTTCTGTGAGTTTTGGGCACTATAGCCTGTTTGGAGGTGCAGTTGATCGCATGGGCGGAGACAGGCCAATCATCTGTCTTCCTCATTGGTGCGCCTCTCTTCTCTTCTGCCTTGGAATTGAAGAGCACCAATGGGGAAGTCACAGTGGTTAACCTACTTCTGCTCACACAATCAGCAGAGCCTGCGCTTGAAATACAGAAAAACTATATCTTTCAAAGAGATTCCATGCCAAGTTCTGGAAAAAAAATTCCTAGCTCACGCTCGCTTTCGGAATCGCGTCGACAGTACAGGAGAGATGAACACTTTGTCCAAGATTTACGGTCCTATCTTCGAGTCCTGGGTTGAATCGTGGGGCATACTCTTTCTTCTCAACAACTTCTTCCATTTCCATAACTGAAAACCTTCTTTGAATTACTATTTTGCGTTTCGAAGGCGATTGGCTGCGAACGTGCAAAATGCCCCTCCCGCCGAAGTGCGCCGAAAATGGCTTCTAAATAATTTTTGGATCACTCGCCTTCAACAGAATACGTCGATCTTGTGTCGGCAACACCAAGAGGATTCTTCGCCACGCACATGTACACACCAACGTCTTCCTTGCCGAATCTTGCGATTCGTACACGACAGGCTCCATCGGAAGTGTTTCTGATCTCGACACTTTCACTGGCTTCCAATTTTACGCCTGGAACGGCAATGGCTACAATAATTTGAAATTTGAAAATATAAATATGCACTTTAATAATTGAAATATTTGTCCGTTCAATTCCTGTTTTATTTGGTCTGATTCGCAAGGAAAGGATGAATGGAGAAATTAGCGGCGCCCTCCCGAGGAATTTGATGATCGACAGGGTAAAAGGTGATGTAGGCGACTTATCATATTCATTCAAGTTTAATCATCTGTAGGCCAAGTTAGGCAGCGTTCA